AGTGTAGTACTGGAATTTATACTAGATTGCGGTACGTTAATCGATTTGCTTGGGACCAATAGGCTAGTCAAGCAGTGAGCCAATTTAAAATCGTTAGTTTCGTATTGATTGTTGGTGATAGCGAGTCACCTTACCTCACAAGCCACGCATAATAGACACATCACAAACGATCAAGGTCACACCGGGAAACAAAAAGGAATGTGAGAGCAGCAAATAAAGCACAATTCGATAGTGAGCGCTCTGAAATGTTAATCCGGTTAATCCAAGCGAGTTATTAAAACATTTCCACCATCTGTTGAGTACACTGTGGTGGGCACTGCACGGCCGCCAACGTAGATCTCCCTCCACTCTCCCAGGATCCACTGGCACGGAGACAAAAGTTGGCAATCGCATAAGATCAAAATTGACAGCCGAATCAAGGACCGCTTCAGGGCAGGAGACACGGGGCGCACTACCAAAGTTATGAAGTTAGGTACACGACGGCTCTCTCTCCAGGAACGGAGTGGGAATGGGGGTCTCCGGAGATGGTCTGCTTGTGAAGCAGATCGCTCCCGACCCAATGCTCGGTGTTCTTAGCTGAGGCAGCGGCCATTCTCCACGCGGTCAAGTTACCGGCCAACAGACCGATATTAGTCGTAACTGACTCACACAGCGTGATATTGGCCCGAACAACAGAAACACGGAAGCATCCGTGGATCCAAGGAACGGTGAAGCACGTGCTACCCAACACAGTATTCATGTCAAAAAGTGGATCAAGCGGACGATTCGGAGAGCCTGGGACACCGAGTGAAGGAACAACAGGACACACCACCTTCGGAAGATCAAGGCGACCACCGAAACCTGGAAGGATCGGCCAAACCTACGAGAAAAACGAGTGGTGTCAAGGCTGCGCACCGGGCACAGCAGAGTCTCCCACAATTTCGGAGGAACTCCGTTCGGAAGGACCTGCGAAACCTGCGGAGTGCCAGCTACCGTGGAGCACATCCTCGTGAACTGCGTGGAGTTGGAAGACCTTCGAGCTGCCTTCGGCTTGGAGTCAATCAGCATTCGGAACCTGTTGGGCCACGAGTCCCCGACAGCAGCCGCCCTCATCACCTTCCTAAAGGAGGCGAACCTTTACCACAATATCTAAGTGTTTCTTGTTTGTATTTCCGTTTTGTTGGCCCTTTTGGCAGTTTTCTGCATCTTTTCAATGTAGCAAGATAAATGTACCACAGCCAAGATTGGGAATCTCCTCCTGAGAACCCATTATTTTTCTCCTTTTCTAAATTTTAAGAGATGAACTAGCCATATGGCTAAAAATCTCTATAATAAAGAAAAAAAAACTGTGGTGGGCAGTACGCTAAACAGATGGCGGTAGTTTGTAAACGTCAAACTCAAGGGAATTGACTATAAGCGCCACAGGTGGCAGTACTACCAACTACGATATTTTTTAAATTGATCGTTAAATTCTTGTTCGATGAACAACTTGCGAGTGTTGTGTCTATTTGTCTATGATTAAACTATCCCGCATCAGACAGTTGGCTAGTTCATTACTGACTGCACGTGATCCGAGGTACACAAATGCATGCACCACCTCTAACTCATATCCGTCGATTATCACACTTCTGCCTATCGCGTTCGGTTTCTTAAGTCAATAGATAACACTAGTTTACAGCATATTTGAACTTTGTACTCGATGGTCCTTTCCCATGTAAAATCGTGCGCTGAATCCAAAACTGTAGTCCAACAAAATCTCAGTACGATAGTTTTTGAAACATAGCTAAAAAATTAAATTTCACTTGAAAAAAAAATGTGTTTACTTAAATACAAATATCTCCAACTGTAATGAAGCCAAATTATTTATTTTAATTCCAAATTAAAGACGATAAGATTTGCTTTTGATCATTTAAATCTATTTTTCAGTGAAATTAATGGTACAACCAGTACAAACATTTTTATTTACAATGCTAAAAAATTTAGCAGACATTCAATTTTTCTTAGTAAAATGAAATATATTAAAAAAATTAAACAGGCTATTAATTAACCACTAATCTCACTAACAGTTGATGTTTAATTGATCGAAAGAAAATTTTCTTACCTTCAATTTGGCGTTTAAATAATTGATATAGTCTCATTAAAATATTTGTATTTTAGTAAACACACACTTTGAAAAAAGTGAATTTCCATTTTTTAGCTGTATCTCGAAAACTATAATACTACTTTTTCGACTACATTTTTGGATTCAGTGCACAATTTTACATAAAAAAAACTTTGTAAACTATCGTAATTAGTCTTCAACGTATTCACTTTTTTTCCAAATTCAAAATATTACATTTCATTTTAACCTAGGTGCTCCAGCTGCTACAGTAACTCATCAGCCTTAATTGTTATGATATATAACTAAGTGTTTTGACATTTTTCCTCCCTTGGCAATTCAGTATTCTAAACACAGGCTTTTTAAACCTGCATGTCAGTACAACAATTTACATCTTAAAACTAAAAACTAACACTAAATATCATCTAAGTATAAAAGGAATTAATCATTGCAAATGAGGATTGCAACGATTTTTGCCTGAAATTATTAATTATTTTTTTGAAGATTTGTTCTAAAGTCTCAACATTCGAAATTCTATGTACCTCGGTAGTATTGTACCAGGGAGGCAACTTTAAAATCATCTTCAGAACTTTGTTCTGAATACTTTGAAGTGCTTTTTCCTGGTACTGCAACAACTAGACCATATTGGCAGACGTATTCACCTTTAATCCAACCATTTCACCTTTACGCTTCAGCCTGGCGTACTGCTCTGCCACCGCCTGTAACGTTCTTCCGACAATGTCCACGTCGTCAGCGAAGTAGATGAACTGGCTGCATTTATTGGTGCTTCGCATGTTAAAGCCTGCACACAATGTTGAACAGGAGGCAGCAACTGCCGTCACCTTGTCCAAGTCCTTAGTGTGTTTCAAACGATTCCGGTAACGCACCCGATATCTTCACACAGCACAGTACACCATCCATCATAGCCTTGATCATTTTGGACAGTGTCCTAAATGTCACGAACCGAATGTTGCTTGTAAGTTGTCAATTGCACTTCAAAATAGAAGGTGCTCTAGTTTATGTGAATTTAGACATTGGTGTCCTGTCGTATACAAATACCATTTTAATGAACTGTGCAGAATTTGAATAATTTGAAATTCACGCTTATAGTTTGTGTATAAGGGTGTTCAATATATAGGGCAATTATTCTGCAGAAATCAACATTTTTAATTTTTTTTATTGGACTATTATAAAACTATATAAACTATTAAAAAAGATTTGAATTCCACAAGGCTCCATACTTGGTCCAACGCTCTAGAACGGGGTACACAACGGTGTGTAAAGTTGCCCAAATATGTCCAGATCGATGACTTTACGGAGTCGATGGGCAAGTGGCAGCTGGAGTGGAGTACGGTGGAAAATGGTAGATGGACCCACAGGCTTATACCGATTCTCTCAACCTGAGTGAACAGAAAGCATGGAGATGTAAACTTCTACCTGACGCAATTCCTATCTGGTCATGGTTCCTTCAGGCAGTACCTACATCGGTTCGGACACGCAAGGTCACCCCTCTGTCCGGAATGTGGAAATGCGGTGGAAACACCGAAGCACGTGGTTTTCGACTGTCCTAGATGCGAGGCAGTGCGAAGGGAGTTGCCTGCTCTTAACGCAGATAATGTCGTCGATGCAATCTGTTGAGAGGAGGGCATCTGGATTGCCGTCAGCAGGGCAGTCACGCAAATTCTGTCGGAGCTGCAACGTAAATGGAGAGATGAGCAGCGATCTACCAACACCAGGTAGCACTGAGGTTAAAATAAGTGCATAGCTACCGTGAACTATGGCCAATTGCATGTTGATATTGGCATTGGCATTGGCTATTTTTATTTTCATATTCAGGGTATTAAACAGCACCTATTGGCACCAATAGAATAAATTATTCATTCATGCCATCCTTCATCATAGGGAATATTTTTCTACGAACGTCACTTTGTTGCAACATGTTGATTTGAAATCTCGTTTTTGCAGCACCGTAGATCCAAATTTCAAATAAATAAAATTGATTTTCCGCGGACGTGATCTTTTCATGCATGAGCATGTTAATTAGGGTTATAATTATCCATTGAAACCAAACTGCGGTGCAAATTTACCTATTTATTATGCCTGAACGGAAAAAGCTTCCCTTGGAAAATTTTGATTTTGACGCTTACGTTCCATTGCTGTCACACGGCAGATGAGAACAGCCCCCATCCCACCACACTTCCCTGAAGTAGTGCATACTCGGGGCTCCGCAAAATTCCAGGGAAGAGTACACAGCAAAAAAATAATTTTGATATCACGTCAAAGTGGATGCACTACAATCATGTCGAAAATATGGTGTAATATTACTTGCTAAAAAGGACAAAATTATCATTAATACAATGCATGAACTGACATTACGCTGCTTTTACTGCATTTTTTTTATTTATGTGGTCATAAAAATTACATGAAATTTTCGACATGATTGTAGTGCATCCACTTTGATGTGATATCAAAATAATTTTTTTGCTGTGTAGAGAGTAAGGAGTCGTTTTTGTGGTTAAGAATCTTCCCCCGTGCCAGGTGTACACTATAGACAGCACAACAACAATACTACAGACCAGGTATTTGAAACATTTTTCTCTCCTTACTATAGAAAAAAAAAACACACACACACACAAGAACCTGAAACATCAACCAATAGATCAATCGAAGGTAACACGTTGGAAACAAAGCGATAACTAACGTACCAATTTGCATTGCTGTATCTTGACACACTTAATTATGAAAGGCATATGCTACAGTTGAATGCAATGAAAAATTACCATTTTCCACAATCAGCACAATTATAATTGTAATTAACAGCTAGATAACAAACTGATAACCAAAGGTACATTACTGTGTTGACGCGAAAGTTAACTACGTGTACGGATAAACGTGTAGGTATTCGTATGGTATGTTATTCTTACTACTCTTCCATAACACCAGTGCTGACGAAGTGATCCAGGGAAGCCTTCCTGGCAATGGCCTTAGCGATTATCGTTTTGGGTGTGTTGCTTATCAAACCATAGCAGAGCAGTACGCCGAGTGCTATCACCAGCACGAACAGGCAAACTTTTCGAGCAAACGGCCATAGGATCATCCGGAAAGACTTGAGTGGGTTGCGATACCAGTTAAAGGACGTGTCTGGGCGGCTGTGACGCAACGAAACAAAAGAAAATAGTGAAAGATGAAAAATTGAACGCGATTCGACAGGAAAATTAGTCTACTCCTTTTTTTTTGCAATGCAGTCAAGATGTATCCCATATCGATTTAATTAGGGAGATTTCCGTTTCTCTGAAGAAGCCGGTTAAAAGCGTTGTATCGATTATTGGCGTCATTGCATGGCCCTCGAAGAAACGTGGGTGTGTCTTTGCGCCAGTATAACGAGGTTTTACATGTATGTACAATGTAGTGGATGGTAGCAGTGATTATGTACAATGTAGTGGATGATAGGAGAGGTTTAAAATTAGAACGGATGAGCAGTTTTTAGGTTTCTCATAAAAATTGTGCTCAAAGTTGATACAGTTGAATTTGTTCCGTTTGTGAAACGTTATGCAAAGTTTCATTAAAATCGGAGAAAGACGAGCCTGACATTTGTATTTTTGATATTATGCCTGTAATTACTCGTATCATAAAATCAGGTATAACTACTACAATCTTTAGTTTTCGTTTGGATAGAACAAATGGCCCTTTTGAATTCTATAAATATGAGGACTGGTACGATATGATTCCAAATGTTTTTTCATTAAAATAAATAGTGTCGTTTTGATTTTAATTAATTAATGTCCAAAAACCAAGTATCAAAATAAATGATCTTGCTTTTTGCTGTAAAAAATGTAGAACTGAAAGCAGTCGGGAGTGGTGAAACTTCGTAATCAATTAATATAGTTACTCACTCAGGATTTGCCAATTTCTGCGGTGGCTTGCGTCCTCTCCCAGCAGGTCTTAGAAGGGCCTCTTCCTCGGTCATAATCTGAAGCTCAAGCTCAATTTTTCCCTGAAACAAAAGAAGTGTTTATACCTTACAGAAAAAAGTATCTTAAATGAATAAAAAATTACCGTTTGAGCTATCTTATTGTTAACTTTCCCCACAATTGGATACCATCCGCGGACTTTCTCCTCCCGGAATAGATTCAGATATTGGTCCCGAGCGGTTGCGGTAGCATCAGGTGGTTGTAGAGAACATTTTCCTGGCTTTGTGGCAGGTCGCAGAAGCTGAGCCAGATTTAGGTTCAATGTGCCGAGAAAATCATCCCGGGAAAAGATATCATTATCCCACACTTGAACCGTCAGCAGCGGAGGAACTTTCTGCTCGGTGTCAAGTTGCTCGTAGAAACTTTTCTTGCGTGTTACCACCATCTTAGTGAGTGAGAGGCGATGAAAATAGGGGTTTAATTACAAATAATTCCTACTTCATTAATGTGGCGACCATTAAAAGTATTAGAAATAATCGCTTACCATGGTTTCTGAGCTAGAATAAACGAACGGAAATATCATACGCCAGTTAAAGTTTCCCGTTCCGTCCAATGATCTGTAGTGAATGTCAGTAAACTGTGCATCTTCTACGTTTTGAATCCAACTGTAAAATCCTTCATAAGAGAATATCGTTGTAGGATACTCAAAAATTTACCATTTCACGTATATGTCACTCATTTCCGTTCCAAAAATATTCCTTTCGTCAAGGATGACATCCTGAGTGTTCCAAACGATTATACGTAGCTCGTAAGGTTTCGGTGGATTTGGTGTAATGTCAACCAGAGTTGGGATGGAATCTTCATGATAGACTTCAGTCCAAAGTTGCAGTTTTCCTTGCTCAATCCCTGGATGATCGGAATGAAACAGAGACCTACTCTCAACGTGTTCCGGTACCAGGTGGCATCCGATGACAGGAATTTTATGAAAATTCTTTAGAACTGTTAGGGCCAATCTTTCACGAATGTCTTCAATCGTGGATAGAACAGTTTCATCATGGAAGGTAACCCCCGCAAGTTGCACTACGCTTCCAAAGTAGGTGGGCCCGACAATTCCATTTTGAAAACATATTTGATCCAGAAGAGAGCTTGGTTTTTTGGGAAAGCGCCAAGCATTGTATCCTGAAATTGGAAAACATTCATGTCTATGATTCAAAACTAACATCAACAACCTGTAGTGTTGAACTCCTGGGGCAATCCAAATGTCGCAAAATGTCGAGTTCGAAAGCGATCTTCGATATCTATTATAGTTGATCCAATTAAATCATCCGAAGAGCACGTATCTCTATCAATCACAGATACCTTTAACGCTTGATCACTGAAAATAATCAACATTTTTTTTTAAATCCATTTTAAAGGATCCTGATCAGCCTCCCAAAATTAAAACTTATTTGGTACGAAACTAACTGCGCGCCAACCATTTGAAGTTTATATGGAAATTATAATGTGGAAATCAAACGTTTTGTTAAATGCCTCTCAGATTAATAGCTTTTCTGAAGATTGTTTTTCGTCAAATGTAATAGTTATTGATTATTTAATAGGAAGGTACTCTTACAAAAAGCTTCAAATGGATTGTGTTAAATCAGTTCCTATATAAATGTGTGCAAATGTTGGGAGACAAATCAAGAACAGATTTCAAATTGTTTGAGCACTTACCGAGGTAACCGACCATGCATGACAAAGCGTCTTCCAAATATAGGATTGGCCTGATCTTTAACGAAGTTGGGTCGATCTACAATTTTTTCGTTTCCATATTCCAATTTAACATAAGCATCAGAAAGACTGAATATATCTCGTGATCGAAGATTTAGTCCTTGAACAATGTACACCACTACGGTCACATTTGTTTCAGTGATCAAGTTTGGGATGGAACGCAACCTAGAAGAGAACAAATAGTATATCATAAAAAAAACTTACAAAACCAAATTTGCATTACAGTTGGTTGAACACAGGGCTGGTCGATCCATTTTCATTAGATTGGTCATCTGCTGATCGGATGGTTATTTTACATTTCAAATGACCGTATACTTTAGGAGGCTTCTTCATGCTATGGTCAACCTTCTTAAGCAGAGGAACAGGTGCACTCCAGTCGTGAAAGCATTCAAATTCCGGAACAGCTTCGAGTTCACAAGAGAAGATCTGAAAAAATAAAAATTCAAATAATCGAAACGATTTTCTATGAAAATTTTAATCAAACAAAGAAAAAATTTGGAATTTTACTGGTGATGTAAAATTCTATGCATGCAAACATTCATGCATGTTAACCTCCTTTTCACGTAAACTAGAAACATGCTAGAAAGGTTACTTCCAACGATGGACAATTGCATGCAATATTTGGAATATTTCATGAATTAACTCATAACTTTACACGATCTATAATGTAAATTTGTATGATATATGATGCTCCATTTATGTGCATCATAGTGACAGAAATTTACACTAATTTTAGAACTATGAAGAATGAATCATTCTTTTACAGTTTGATATAAAAGGTATCATCAAAAGTGGCATAGAAACGTTTAAATAAATGGCATTCAACAAGCAAAATAAACAAAAAACTACGAAAATAAAATAAAAATGTCAACAAATACTTCCCAATAAACATCGAATCGCCAAAACGATACTAAAAAACCCGAATTTATCCACCTATGGTGTGATCAGACCCTTCTTACTTATTCAAGTTTTTTTTATTTTATTGTCATTATCAGCGACCAAGCCCCCCACCCCCGTGTCATCCAGTGACGCTACGCCACTGCCTGGGGGTACCCGGAATATATCCGGGTGTAGTCTATTTGGTGAGGCTACCAATCACCTTATCATCGTATTTTAATGTGATTTAATGGGTTTTAATTCAATTCATATTCAAGCAACTTCCCCGGGGTACCTGGAACATGTCCAAGTGTGTCCAATGTGGTCTGGAACACTTAACACGACTTGCATTGATCTTATTTTTGAATTCTGTAGTAATTTGATGTGTCGCATGATGGTTTTGATACGTTTTCCGTTAAATCCAGCGTGAAGGCCCATATTCACCGGATCTTATTCCGGACATATCTCCGGAACCGGTTCACCGATTCTAAAACCGTTCAATAGCGTTCAATGGGACCCCAAGACCTATCATTTGGCGCCGAGTTTGTCCAAATCGGTTGAGCGGGTGCTGAGAAACGTGAGCGCATTCATTTCGTTACATACACACACACATACACACATACACACATACACACATACACACGTACACACACACACAGACATGTTCCGATCTCGTCGAGCTGAGTCGAATGGTATATGATGGTTTTGATACGTTTTCCGTTAAATCCAGCGTGAAGGTCCATATTCACCGGATCTTATTCCGGCCATATCTCCGGAACCGGTTCACCGATTCGAAAACCGTTCAATAGCGTTCAATGGGACCCCAAGACCTATCATTTGGCGCCAAGTTTGTCCAAATCGGTTGAGCGGTTGCTGAGAAACGTGAGCGCATTCATTTCGTTACATACACACACACATACACACATACACACACACACACACAGACATGTTCCAATCTCGTCGAGCTGAGTCGAATGCTATATGACGCTCGGCCCTCCGCCCTCGGATCGATAGTCGGTTTTTCAAGTGATATCTATACCCTTCTTTGTAAGAAGGGTAAAATGAGCTTAAATCGTTAAAATGATCAGCCATAAAAGCCCTGAAATTTATGTATATTTCAAATTCCAAAATGTTTTGGATCTCCGGCATAATTTAATATTCAGAATTATTCCAGATGGCGTGACATGTAGATTTTCGGTCCGTGATAACTCTCTTCGTTTAAAACTTATAACTAACTTCATAATATGTTAATGTTATGTGCACCACTAGTGTTTTTTAAAACTTTATTAAAGTGATTTTCATGATTTTCCTTGTTTTCCAATCAATAGTTATGAATATAGTGCCTTAAAAATAGCGGTTTTGGACTTCAACTCAGTTTTAGTAAAAAAAAAACAGTCGAACACCATGTGCTTCCTTTTTCCCCACATTTACACGTTCCGGATAGAGGGGTTACCATTCGTGTCCGACCCGATGTAGGTGACGCCTTAAGCAAACATGACCAGACAGAGATTTCGTCAGGTGAAAGTTTACCTCTTCATGTTTCCTGTTCACTCCGGTTGAGAGAATCGGTATAAACCTGTGGGTCCATCAATCGTTCTCCGCTGTGTCCCATTCCTGCTAATACTTGGCTATCGACCCCGTTATTAACCTTACACCTCTGGTTTATTTCCGCTTGTAGCACGCTGTCCTCCGCCAAAGTGATACCGATATGGATCATTCCGGCGATAACGCATAGTGGTTCCGACGAGATGGTTCTGTACGCGCTCACAACTTTCATGGCCACGAGTCTGAACGAACTGTCCAACTTCGCTTGATTCCGTTTGGTTTAGACAAAGATAAGATAGATATATAGATATGGGGCCTCCCTTAGCTTAGTCGGTAGAGGCGCAGCTACAAAGCAAGACCATGCTGGAGGTGGCTGGGTTCGATTCCCGGTCCGGTCTAAGAAATTTTTCGGGTTGGAAAATTTCTCGACTTCCCTGGGCATAGAAGTATGATTGGACTTGCCACACAATTATACTAATGCAAAAATGGTACAGGCATCGAAAGCTCTCAATTAATAACTGTGGAAGCGCATCTAGAACACTAAGTTGAGAGCACGCAATAAGCTAATATGCGATATGCAATAAGCTTGAAATGCGAAGAAGAAGAAAGAAGAAGATAGATATATAAATCCTGAAAAAATCTGGAATGCTCCTAAAAATCCTGTTTTTAACATTATACTATTGCTGTGCCTACACAGATAAAAGTTCTGAATTTTAATTGTGATATAAACATTCATTCACGTAAATTTGTATTTCATTTCACGCAACCGAGCAACTTGTTAACAATGTTGTTTACAAAGATGGGCTTTTGTATAAAATATCTGCTACATTGCATGAAATGTCTCAGAACTTTACATGATATATAATGTAAACTTATATGATATGTGACGCTCCATTTATGTGCATCATATTGAACAGAAATTTACGCTACTTTTTCGAACTGTGTATCTCCCGTAAAACTCGGTTAGTATGATCATCTAGAATTTATTCAAAATACCGGATTGTTTATTAATTACATGTTTAAATAAATTATAAAAAGTAAATAACTTGTTAGCATTGCTAAAATCAACCAAAATTAAATAAAAGTTCTGACACAGTGTGCCCATAAAGTTTAAATATCCATTAAGCATCATTTCAAAAATTGAGTTAAATTGTTCGTAAAATATTTCAGCAAATATTTAAAGAATTGTTTTTTAAGCTGTAAGTTTTTTAAAAGAATGAGAAGCAAAGAACCAAGCAATTTTGATGGGATGGATTTTTTTGGAAATTCACATGGCTGAATTGGGAATCAAAGCTAAACATCGTGGTACTCACACACAGTTTACCTAAACTACGGGTAACTCCACTATTCGCATGACCATCACGTTATGCCAAAGAATAATTTTATTTTATAACTAAAATAAAAGTCTGAAAGCGTCATTTCTTCAAATGATTTTAAATCCTGGAATTTATATTTTCCTTGGGTCTCAGATCATTAAATTTTTTGTTAGTCTGTATTTACTAGGAACTCTTCACATGATATCTTCTTCCATCCTTGAATTCCATCCTAATTCTTTACTGGATTCCTCTAAAATAATGTAGATAATTTCCTTACTTTTTCAGTAACATTCTAAGAGTTCTTAGCATTATCTCTTGTAATCTCGTATAAATCACTCTCCGATCCCAGAATTCCCTCAAACAGGTTATAATTTCCAAGAATTGCCATAATTTTGTCTCAATTTTTATCTATGAAATTCCCTTGCAATCTTCTTAATAATTTCTTTTGTACACTCTTCAGAATAACCGTCACACTTTTCTCAGACTTATCCGATAGTTCTCTTTGAACTCCTTTGTAGGCAAGGTCAGAATTGTATTCAACCAGAGGTTGCTCTGACTGCATATTTAACACTAGACAACTGACAACACACTACACCAGTAGGAAAATTTTCAGGATGCGAAAAGTTACACCGGCTGGAGCAGGAATCGAACCCTCACTTCGTGGCAATCACAATACGCCTCAATGATGAACGACGGGTGACGCCGCACGACAACGAAGCCCACAAATATGGATGGAACTCTACTCAGAATTAACTTGAAATTCTCGTTTGTTTTCATAAGAAATTAGCCTCACACTTCACTGTAAACTATTTTCAGAATTACCTTAAAATTCTGAATTCTAGGGCAATTCAGAATTCTAAAGTAACTCAGACTGCTTAGGAAACTCAATATTCACAGGTACCTAAAAAATTCAAAAAATCATCAGATACCTTTAAAATTTTTCTTAAAAAATATGTGAATTGTTCTCAAAAATTGGCGGTTGTCTAGAGTCAAAACACTTGCTAATTTTCCAAAACTCAATTTATTATTATCAATCCTGAACAGTTTTCAGGATACGCGATGTAAATAGATGCGATAAATGAAAGAAGATTTTTCGAAAATTGATGCACTTGTGTGAGATTTTTTAAGCATCTAGAATTGATGTTTAGAAGTCGGCTGAAAGTCCCTTTCATAAAAAAAATCTAATCTAATTTCATAGAACACTAATGAATATTTTTGTAATCAGTCAACTAGTTCCGGAAATATGACCGGAGCATGTTTCGTAGAATATGGGCCTTAAGATTAGCAACAAACTGAAACGTGCCAAACACATCATGCGACACATCAAATCATTTCATTTTCATTTTGCAGCGTTTGGTGGGGCAATGGGAGCGCAAGTCAATCCAAAGCCGAGGATAAAGGACGGGTAATAGCTGAATAGTCTATGCGGACCACTTGAACGCCATGGGAAAAGGAAGGGATTGAAGAGACTGGTTATTGGGGGGTTTTGAGGAAATGACACATAGTGATGCTAAATGTAAAGAAACCGAAAATCCATCTCCCACAGATTCATCCTTTCACATATATACCAAATTGATATTTTAAAGCAATAATCAAAATAAACAGACAATACATAAAAAGTCTAGTTGCCATTTGCTTTAAAGGCTAGTTGCCTCCCTAAGCGGACCCTCCGCATCCTAACTCTTCTGTTAATCCATTTAATGCTACTAGGCTGTCTAAATTTTCTTATTTAAGTTCGTTTGATGATTATGATATCTCTACTCTAATTTAATAAATAATTGAAATCTCTAATCTACCTACCATGCTTTATTAAGTACCTGCTCTTGTGAATGTAATCTAAAATTTAACATGTTTCAAGTTGTTTTTGACTTTTACCTATATTTAATATATATTAGTTCGTCTCAGGTGACAGCTTCAGGTGACTAAAATGCTTCACTTTGAAGTTAGTTTCCTAGCTGATTTGTAAATTGCATAGGGTATATGCTTCAACTACGTTCACACGTTTCCACTATGTCGCACCACAAAAATACGTACACGGCGAATGAGAACGACTCAAATTTGAGTTTAGTTCACTCATAATCGCCAAAAGTGCAGGAACTCAGCGATGAGTTAATTTGCCTCATGTTTTCCCAGGTTTTTCCAGGATTTTCCAGGGAAAAATTCCCGAATTTGAGAAAAGTAAAGATTGGATCACTCAGTCTATTGGTACTACTCCGAGACTGAATAAAATTTTCGTCAATTACCTCATTTTCCGGCAGATTTTTTAGGTTTTCCACAGGAAACCATGAGACAAATTTTACTCATCGCTGAGTTCCTGCACTTTTGGCGATTATGAGTGAACTAAACTCAAATTTGAGTCGTTCTCATTCGCCGTGTATGGTTACGTCACAATAGAAGCATGCCACAGTGGAAATCCCGAGCCATAGTTCAAACACTTATCCCAAATCAAAATGAAGCACATATAACATTAGTTGCAATACCATGTACATAAATGGTGTTTAACATTGTTCCCTGAGTAATACCTCAATTAAAACAACAATGAAAGCTTGTCACGCAAGTAGAAGGAGAACTGTTGCGCACTTTCTGAAATATTTGAATAGTATAATTCCCTTGCCAACCCAAATAAATCTATCTGCGTAAAAAAAAAAAAAAAAAATAAGCGTGATTTGCGACAAAACCCGCCAGTATCGCACCCAACGTCAGTGCCTATACGTAAGCGTACTACGAAGCGGCTCTCAATCAAAGGAGTAACAAGTGTGATACTATCACTTCAGGCTAGAACTTTGGTTCTCTTATGCAATGGTTCATCAGAGAGGGGAAGCTCAGTAATCCTCATCGCATGCTCATGACGCTATTCTGTCACGGCATGAGCCAACGATGCTGGACCTAAACCAACCGTCTCCAACGCTCCACTATGAAGCATAAGATTAGGCCCGCCCACCAACGTCCAGGTTAAAAAACTAGCCAAGGGGAGGGATCATGCGACACATCAAATCACATGACAATTTAAAAACAAGATGGCGGTCATATTCAGTGCCAAGTATCACGTTGGCTACACCCTGCCATGTTCCAGATACACCCGGAGAAGTGGCCACTTTTGATTTGAACCAAAACTCATCATCTTATTGTTTAGATTGGAATCAATGTTTACTTCCCAGCATTATTTCTGAAAGTAGTCTGACTGAGAATTTCAAAAGAGTCGTGAGTGTTGCTAGTATCCAATCTACGAAGTATATCATAAGAACGTCAACGTTTTCCAAAACTCATATTCTTCTCCTTCTTCTTCTTCTTCTTCTTCTTCTTCTTCTTCTTCTCTTCCTTCTTCTTCTTCTTCGCATTTCAAGTTTATTATATATTATATTTTTAGATATTTTTAGAAATATGAATCCTCGGTAGACGTGTTTTTATCAAAGGCAAGTGTCATTCGAACCATCCAAAATGCTCATTATTTTATAAATTGCTGTTATGGCTCGAGTGACACTTTTTTTTTCTACAAAAAGGAGATACTATTACGAACAAAACAATTTATGCGCTTCTAGTGGATAAAGTATCCTTTTAAAGAAGCACATGTATATCTAAAATCACATGAGAAATCAAAAACAAGTTTAATTATGGTCGTGTAGAGTGCTCAGAACCACATTTGCCACGACATTTTAAACCAGCTACACTAATTACCGCATATATTTGACCTTTATAGCATGGAATCATAAGATAAGAATTAATACTAACCACTCTAATAGTACGTTCAGACTATGGCTGATATAATGTAATATAGGCTGTCTTACAATAAGCTCTCATGCGTCAAATTTTCACCGGAAATCGTAGGCATGACTTTTGATATCAAGATAGTCCATATTACATGATATCAGCCATAGTCTGAACGTACTATAAAACATTGATATTAAAATTTGGCAAAAATGAGATAATTATAACCTAATCCATGTTGTACCATTTTTTTCCGTCATACGCGCAGTTCTGCGACTGGACTGTCGGCAAATTCGAATTTCGGACAGCTTGAAGGAATGGTAAATAGTTTTTATACTAATAGCTATGACGATATGTTAGTTCAAAGCCAACAAAACTTTACAACGGACGCAGTTCTTACAACCTCCTCTCAACTAGAGCCAACAAGTGAAATTATAGTAGGGAAAATGGCTATAATGTTGGTCTATGGATCTAAAATTGGGTCCATCGCTAAAAATCTGCAATTTATCAATTTTATCTAGATGAACGAGTCATTGAGAAGGTACTAATGGATATTTTTGGTCGCTATCGAAAATTTAGTCTATTGGAATTTAGGCCGACATTACATTTAGGCATGAGAAGTGCATTGAAAATTAACGAGATCCTTAAAAAAGGAAACTTTGATAAAATTATATAATGGAAGGACAAAATCCAAAATCCAGACCTCGATCTTTAGAGTCCGCTGAAATATTTGATCTTTATCTTGAGTCTACTTCACCTTGGTTTAAAGCTGAGGTCGTCAGTTATTCCATTCATCACGTTTATGATGAATTTTACTCCTTCTAAGGTGTGAAACTTATGTGGATGTTTATGTGACAATGCTCATTAAATATAAACGACCCAGTGCTCAGTAGGAACCTTACCCGTTTTCTCATCGGAGCAGCTACACGGGAAGGAATCCGATTCCATTTTCTTGAATAAAAAATCATGAAATGAAAAAACGTTCCAAGCCATTTCATGATCATAACATTCATAACAATGAACAATATTTTATGATGGAAATTCATGATTTCATATTGCAGCGGAATCATGACATCTACAAGCGTTACACGTACCTGGCAAACCATGTTCATAAAATCACTATATAGGTAGCTCTTATACGCCTTTTGCCTTGCTCCTTATTCAAGCATGGGTTTAATGATCTCAATGTTCTTGGTTCGAATCCAGTCTGACACTTTATTTCATTTGTTTTACATGTTTTGTTTTAAAAGCTGAAAGTTAAATTCATGGTTTCAACTCGGCTGATTCATAAGCGAAAAGCAGTCAGTTAATTGTTTTAATTTTAAATTGATTAAATTGTTCCAATAAGTATTCAAAATATGCCTGGCCAGTCTCGACGAAAGTTTAATTTTCTGTAGCGCACTTGATTATATGAAACATTTTATTCTGAAACGACATGGTTTTTAATTTAATTTGGTAAACCAAACACATGAGACTGTTTTCATTTTTTTTAGAAACACTTCAATAAATCGGTTCTAGTTTCAACTGATTACGTAGTACTCAATCAAACAAATTGGAAAAATGGAAATCAATCAACGAAATGAAAACCAAACTACACGTCAATTACCTTCAGCTTGTGCTTGTAATCGGACGGTTGGGAGCTGCAGCTATTGTAAAACTTTGTCCACCACGTATACTCCGTCTCCAAGGAGCCTCGCCTTCTGGTTGCAGCTGAAATCTTAGAACCTCTATTGCGTCCTGTGGCGGCCTTGATTTTTCTATCGACGACTGTTTTCACGGCAATCAGTGCCGGTAGTAGCTTTTGAGTTAAAGTTGATTTCCTCTTGCTCGATTCGATGAGTGGTTGATCCTCTGCACTGAAGAAAGTGTCGATTGAAATCCTTTCATTGTCATTGTGGGAACGATAAGTTTTAATCAAGTAGTGTTTGATTGGTTCTAGAGTGTCCTCTTTGAATGAAAGTTCAGGTCGATCAATTATATTGGCACCGACAATGCGATCTTTTTTCAACTGGGAATATTCGATGTGCTGAATCACCATTGGGGGCCAATATTCGAACCTTGACGGGAGCATCTATTGGAATGAGTTGACTTAGTATTAATCAGTTATGAACAACCCTGTCCATAAATGCATAACAGTCCATGTTGACTTTTTATCAAAGATTAGTTATCTCCTGGAATCGATTATTAACTACTTGCAATTTAATATGCACATAAAGGGAACTGTTTTGTTATCGCAAAAAATACCAAAACTTGGTTATCCCAGCCATAAGATACCATGGAATTTAAAAAAAAATTAACTGCGTTTTTCTCAGCATGCTGTTTTCTAAATGGGACTGTTATGCATTTATAAACAAAACAGGAGTGCAACAAAAAAAAATAATTTCAATGGCCACCGACGTAATAACAAGATTCCCTGAGCATAATTTTGTAGTGGTCTCCTTGGTGCAGTCCTACTGAGGTACATATACTTTCGAATGGTGAGACTTTAGCACAAATGTCCACAAACATAATGTTTAATTTCAGGCAAAAATCGTTACGATCTTAAATTGCAACGATCAATTCCCTGTATAATAAGAGAAGATATAGTTTAAGATTTTAGATTTAAGATGACAGTTATCATATAGAAGTTCCAGGCGAAATAGCGAAAATAAAAATGAATTTTTGAATCGACCTTTTCCGATTTGTATGAAACTTTACGTAATTGATTATTTTTTTTTTTCCTTTGGTTTGTTTTTTCCGTCGATCTTGTTTTCCGTGCTGAGCACCAATGCTACCGACGTGCCAGGAAGGCAGCTCCCACACCTGGACCCTACCTATCGACCCATCAACTCATGAACCGGGGACCAACGGCTTTACTTCCCTTCCGAAGGAAGGCGTGATCAGAGATGTTATGCCTCAGAACATCCCGGCGGCGCCGACTGGAATTGAACCCAGGCCTGCTGGGGTGAGAGGTTATCACGCTTACCACTACACCACCGGCGCCGTTATAATTGATTATTATTATCTACGATACTTATTTTTTTTGACCCTGCCGTTTTGGACCTAGTAAATTTTTTAAAATGACGCCCTTGAAATTAAAAAAAAAATTGTAGCACGGGAACGGTATTTATGATTGAAATGACTTCTGAGATAAAGTTGTAGAAGTCATAATGTGTTTCAGGAAAAAATAAAAAATAATAATTTTATTTGTTTCATGTAAGATAAACAAATGTTGACACTCAAGTATTTTTGAATTGATTTTTTTTCAAGGAAAAACTTATGAAAATTTCAAACTTTTGAAATTTTTAAAGCCATGGATATTTGAAAACTGACAAAAACCATAGATCAAAAACTTTTGGTCATCTTTTTGAACTTTTTGTTAGCATGCTATTTTTTTTACGGAGAATGAATGAAAATTATACGAACATTGTTTTCTAATTTCATGCGTTTTAAAAATTATACCAAAAGTTCTTGTTGTTCAATTTTTGACTGCAGTGAACAACTCGATATTGAAGGGACCATTGAGTTATAATATTATCGAGTTATAGAATAACTCATGTCCCATGCCAAATCGCTGTCATTATTTGGTCATGTACTGAGCACCGTGGAGTCAGATCCGAGTTGTACAATTCCCTTCGGGCTCGACGTAGACAAGCAAATGTTCCAGTTCGGGATATTTTGGCTCGACGCGACCTGGAGTTTATGCAACTCATATATGTAATATTGGTTTGCGTGGGCGTAGTTTGTTTACAAATGCTTTTGTGCCGTTATCAAATGTTATGCCTGCGTTGAGTGAACTACCGTCATTCGAAAGCTGCTGAAAAATCAAGGATTCAAAAAAAAAAGAAACATCCGGTACCTACATCACGATCCAACGGAAGGCGTAGCAGGATCTAATGTTGGAGACAATGAAAATGAAAGGTTGAAGGACTACAATCCCAAACGGTACATATTTCCATTTTAGATGTTGTTAGAACATGAAACCACTGGATAGTGATCATCTGTATGCTTTAACAATTCTTGGAATCGACCAACCCCTTCCAGAGAATGATAACAACTGTGTCGGATTGGCCAGTGACATTCAGATGGCCAGAGAGTACTGTGCCAAGTTGCCGAGCGTCACAACTTAACTCCCCCCGTTGTGGTCAGGTGCCAAAGCCATGCAGAACGAGCATGCATTTTACTAATGCACCAGACGAATGCCCATAAATGCATAAAAGGGCCCATGAACATAATTTTGTAGTGGTCTCCTTGGTACAGTCCTACTGAGGTACATATACTTTCAAATGGTGAGACTTTAGAACAAATGTCCACAAACATAATGTTTAATTTCAGGCAAAAATCGTTACGATCAATTCCCTGTATAATAAGAGAAGATATAGTTTAAGATTTAAGATGACAGTTATTATATAGAAGTTCCAGGCGAAATAGCAAAAATAAAAATGAATTTTTGAATCGACCTTTTCCGATTTGTATGAAACTTTACGTAATTGATTATTATTATCTACGATACTTATTTTTTTTAATTCTGCCATTTTGGACCTAGTAATTTTTTTAAAATGGCGCCCTAGAAATTAAAAAAAAATTGTAGCACGGAAACAGCATTTCTGATTGAAATGACTTCTGAGATAAAGTTGTAGAGACAATAATGTGTTTCAGGAAAAATTAAAAATAATAATTTTATTTGTTTCATGTAAGATAAACAAATCAAGACCAACAATTGAAACGGTCTTAACTCCATTTTGTAAACAATCCTTGTAAGGTCATTTTCTCGCGAACCAAAGTCCACAAAGGCAAACCAACATACTGAACAGGTAGGGAAAATTTTCCTCTACCCGATTGTGGTTTAGGTTTGCGAATGAAGGTTTCGGTTCGCGAGAAAATGGCCTTACAAGGTTTGTTTACAAAATGGAGTTGAGGCCATTTCAATTGTTGGTCTTGAAATGTTGAAACTCAAGTATTTTTGAATTGATTTTTTTTTCAAGGAAAGGCTTATGAAAATTTCAAACTTTTGAAATTTTTAAAGCCATGGATATTTGAAAACTGACAAAAACCATAGATCAAAAACTTTTGGTCATCTTTTTGAACTTTTTGTTAGCATGCTATTTTTTTTTTACGTAGAATGAATGAAAATTATACGAACATTGTTTTCTAAGCATGAAAATGCGTTTTAAAAATTATACCAAAAGTTCTTGTTCTCCAATTTTTGACTGCAGTGAACAACTCGATATTTAAGGGTCCATCGAGTTATAATATTATCGAGTTATAGAATAACAGTCCCATGCCAAATCGCTGTCATTATTTGGTCATGTGATGAGCACCGTGTAGTCAGATCCGAGTTGTACAATTCCCTTCGGGCTTGACGTAGACAAGCAAATGTTCCAGTTCGGGATATTTTGGCTAGACGCGACCTGGAGTTTATGCAACTCATATATGTTTTCTTTAACATCTCTGTTACATTTTCTTTAACAACTCTGTTACACCTTGGATTGTAAGTTTAGTTTGTATATTTTTTATATAGTGGTTTCTGTAATACTTGTATGCTTGGCCCGGTAAATGCTGGGTAATGAGCAATACAGATCCCATTGAGATCAATAGCCTCTTCCCAGCAACTCCTATCCCTACCTCTCCGTGGTACCGGCCGGGAACTGTTAGCAACCTTAGGGAAGATGGGGTAGCCAACCCCGGTGGGAACTTTGGTCATAGGCTTACAGGAAAGGGGGGGGGGGGGTTTGTTTCGGCAAGCCTGAGCTTTCATCGTGATGGGCGAAATGCAGAAGTGCGTGATCGGTTGGTGGCCGATCGACGAAAGAATGTGCAGGTTGAGGATCAAGGGCCGATTCTTCAACTTTAGCATAATCAACGTGCACAGCCCTCACTCCGGAAGCACTGATGATGACAAAGACGCATTTTACGTGCAGCTCGACCGCGAGTACGATCGCTGCCCAAGCCACGACGTCAAAATCATCATAGGAGACCCAAACGCACAGGTAGGCCAGGAGGAGGAATTAAGACCGACGATTGGAAAGTTCAGCGCCAACCAGCTGACGAACGGGAACGGCCTACGACTCATCGATTTCGCCGCCTCCAAGAACATGGCCAGCACCTTCTTCCAACACAGCCTCCCCTATCGTTACACCTGGAGATCACCATAGCAGACGGAATCGCAAATCGACCACGTTCTGATTGATGGACGGCACTTCTCCGACATTATCGACGTCAGGACCTATCGTGGCGCTAACATCGACTCTGACCACTACCTGGTGATGGTCAAACTGCGCCCAAAACTTTCCGTCATCAACAATGTACGGTACCGACGCCCGCCACGGTACAACCTAGAGCGACTGAAGCAACCGGATGCCTCCTTAGCATACGCGCAAAATCTCGAAGCAGCGTTGCCAGAGGAGGGCGAGCTCGATGTGCCCCCTTTAGAGGACTGCTGGAGTACAGTAAAAGCAGCCATCCAGAAATGCCGTGAATACCAGGTCCCAACGCATCATTTGTTCATCGACTTTAAGGCGGCATACGACAGTATCGACCGCACAGAGCTATGGAAAATCATGGACGAGAACGGCTTTCCTGGGAAACTGATCAGACTGATCAAAGCAACGATGGACGGTGTGCAAAACTGCGTAAGCGTTTCGGGTGAACTATCCAGTTCATTCGAATCTCGCCGGGGACTGCGACAAGGTGACGGACTCTCATGCCTACTGTTCAACATTGCTCTAGAAGGTGTAATGCGACGAGCCGGGCTCAACAGCTGGGGTACGATTTTCACGAAATCCGGTCAATCTGTGTGCTTTGCGGACGACATGGACATTATCGCAAGAACATTTGGAACGGTGGCAGAACTATACACCCGCCTGAAACACGAAGCAGCAAAGGTCGGACTGGTGGTGAGTGCGTCAAAAACAAAGTACATGCTAGAAGGCGGAACCGAACATGACAGGATTCGTCTAGAAAGTAATGTCACGATAGACGGGGATACTTTAGAGGTAGTGGAGGAATTCGTTTACCTAGGATACAGAACGGTAATAAGACCGGTGGTCCTCTATGGACACGAGACATGGACTATGCTCGAGTAGGACCTGCAAGCACTCGGATTTTTCGAGCGACGTGTGCTAAGGACGATCTTCGACGGTGTGCAGGAGAACGGTGAGTGGCGGCGAAGAATGAACCACGAGCTCACTGCACTCTACAGCGAACCCAGCATCCAGAAGGTGGCCAAAGCCGGAAGGATGCGGTGGGCAGGGCATGTTGCAAGAATGCCAGACAACAACCCTGCAAAGTTGGTGTTCGCTACTGATCCGGTTGGCACAAGTCCCAGGTTTTGTAAAGTATATTATCTTTTGAATTTGGACCAATCAATAGTTTTGATCCTTTTCTCATGCAATTTTATAGTTCTCCCGCAAATTCAGATCATAGCTAGATGTGCTTTGTTTATTGCATGCAGCTGCCATTTCAATTTTTCCGTAACCGTGGAGGGATGAAGGGAAAAACATGTTTTACGTTGATTCCTTCAATGGGAGTGCGAGGAAAAACTTGGAGTGAGCGTGCCATTTTTTTTAAACACTGTTTGCAAATGCTGTATACATTTACGCACAAAACTAAAGTTTTAATTTCACACTATGTGGATGGAAAGGCAGGGTCTTGGAAATATTTCGGAAAAATAAGCGTATCGTGACAAATTTCTTGCGAAGGTGCGCTTTAACTGACACACCAGTGTACGAGAGGTGAATATATGGTAGTGAAACAGGGAGTTTCTTTCTCGCTATTCCTTTAATAAAATCTTATAGACACTGATCTATATTGAAATTTTAATTATTAGAATATTATAAATTTCACTGGAAAAATAAGAAGTATGAACTTTTCACCGGTTTACCCAAAGTGTCTGACTTTCTAAATATTGTACATGTTCATGAGTAATATTGCGTGACAAATATTTCTAATGAATCATTTCATTTGCAATATTTTAAAAATTTACGGGCGTTTTAGAAGACGCAGACAACGCTGGCCTTTTAAATTTAATGTCATATAATAAGGCACAGAAATAAGAAAGGATTGAAGGACTGCAGGTAAAGTTGAAATAAATACATGTAAGAATAGAGTTAATCCTAAAATGTTTAAGTCAACGCAGAGTTTTTGGCATACCAAAGTTCCAGTGTCGTAGATGTCTGAAAACCCCAAGGATTGTCCAGTATTTCGATATGATAGGCCGCTCATCAGTTTAAGCTCTCCAAAAATCACTTGAACTCGAAACCGTCCAGCACTGCTTCGTGTCAAGCTGTGTAGATTCCTCAAACCAGCAAATAAAACTTCCACGTAGAACTTTTGCGTTTTTGGACAAATGCTTGCTGGAATTCCATGAATCAAACGCATCGTCACCTTTTCGTCATCATTTTCATTCACCTACGGAAATAATTCGAAGCATTAACCCTGGTTCTAATCACTCTAATGGTGGTAGTTCTTACGTTTTCAAACCGAATAGACATCAATATATCCGCCATTCGCTGGCCATTGCGATAACATCCTACCCATCGTAAAACTGAATCCCTCCGGTCGTCGAACTCATTCCACAAGTCACCAGCAGGAGCATGCTTGTTTCTTTTCCATGAAACTGTTATTTTATTGTCTACTTCCTGAGGGTGATGACCGACCGAATCCGATGGCTTATCACTCGCTTGAGCCGCAATAGTCACACTTTCACCTTGCCGGTCATTATCTAATAAAGATTGATTCCTAAGAGACGACGTGTCAGCATTTGTTGACTCAGGAGGGCTTGTATCTTTAGCATCGGCTCGTGGATCTCGGTCAATTGCTGCAGCTGAACGAAGACGACACTTGACCCATCCAATACCAATAATTTCATCCTTTTTCTGAGAACACTGGATAAATAAACCATTAGAAGCTGAGAAGCCGTACTGTATAGGAACAATTTAATCAACACCTATTATTTGTCCAGGGGGTATGGATTAAGTACGTCAAACAAATTTAGGGAAAATCAACTCCCTTTCGTCATGTTTTTCCTATACCTAATACATTGCTTGTCACACATTTTTGAAAACCCCCTCCTCCTTAGAGTGTGCCGTAGTTAATGGATGCTCCCCTATTGAAGTGACTCGGTACCCGAGCAAAGTCTAGCATCAAATGAAATTAAATCGAGATCAAATTTTGATACCAACATCAAACTGAAATCACAATTTGATTTCAGTTTACGCGATTGACGAATTTTATAAAAAAAATTGATTTCTTTTTCATCTTCCAAAATATGGTGTTACCGACATCACAACATCACATTAAGGTTTAAATTTTCTCTAAGACTTTGCTCGGGTATGGCATTTGCTCCAAAGGAAAATAAGATATATTGTGTCTTTTTTCTAGGAAATGTCGGTAGATTCTTACCATCCGTTTATCTTCATCGAGCAATAGAAGCATGACCGTCAGTTCGTCGCTACGGAACCAGTCATCGTTATTCAGCAGCTTGATATTGCTAAATTCAACGACTTCATTCCAGAGAGGAGACAACGTCTGAGGGACAACCTTAAAGAGCGATACAGAAGAAATAAACCATTGAATTGTTGCGATGCTTATTAAAATGTTTTGCTAGAAATTGTAATAATTGCATTATTGCTAGAAATTATGATGTCAAAAAAATGCGAGATTCAATTTTGTGAGAGATTTGACATGAGCAAATGATATGAAAGCTCATGCTATGTGATTTCATTTCATGACTATGGCAAATCCTGTTTTAACATTCTCACAAGGTTATGAAATTTACCAGCGTTGCACACAATATTAGATAGTCTTCGACATTAAGGAATATCTGAAGTTAGGTGAATCCCCTCTAATCAATGTAAAACTAATATAGCTGAGCGAAATTGAAATTTTCTGTCATGTTCTCATCCGCATGCAAATAAACCTACCGAAGTAACCATTTCGTAATTTTCCACCAAAACCACCAGTTTGGGATCACTCAATCCGGTGCTATCGAATCCGGGTTGAATTTTTCCCTGATGTACATTGACAATACATTGCACCGCCAAAGCAGCTTCACCACATTGAACTCGTTCCCGTGGTTGTTGGTTTTCTTTACCTGACAAAACATTTCGTTCGCGTTCTACTCCTCGTCGCTTTTCCCATTCATTTGCTTCCTGTTCCGTTCCTGCCCAGATCGCTACATCCAACTTCGCATACACACAGCCACACCACTCGGGGTCACAGGAGTGCTGACAACGTGATGGCCTTGGCAATATTGTGCTTCTTTTCGCACACGGTGAGCCTATCCTATCGCCATCCCCATCGGTGGTAACCGATGGAAAGTACAGATATTCGATGGTATTCAACCGAGAAATGGCATCAAAATGGGTACATCTTTTTCCTTTCCTTTGCTTGCAGCAACCTCGTCCTATTGAATGATGCACGGATAGAAGGCATTCGGGAAATGTACTCTGCTCCTGTGAGAAAATTATTGAATTAAACTGCAAGAGTGCTTCTCCCGAAACCAAACGAGCATGAATGGAATATAATTTGTGGATAAACTTACATCGTAAACTAGATCCTCTAGGGTATGCACGAGGCGAGATAGCTCTGGTTGAAATGTAGACATGTCGTCCAGGGTAGCATTGGATAATGATAGTTTCAGCTGATTTATTGACAAGGAAAGGAGGTCCTGTAAACGAAGAAGAAAATGCATCATGTATATTTTGAAATAATACAAAATAATTCTTCTTTTGAAATTGTATTGATGTGTAGTTTTGCAAGTGACATCGACCGAAATTATCGAAATAATAGGGGTTCCACTCTTTATGGGGCGAAATTGCCTTAGAGTTTGTGACAGTGCGTGTATGGGAAAAAACGTGACACAGGGGGTGGATTATGTCATTTTTTAACCGCTCCATACTCTAAATGGGTTACTTGGGTTCTACAACAATGATCGTCAATTTTTAAATGTCCAATTTGAAACTCTCAGACGCTAAAATGTCATGACCTTTTAAGAAAAAAAAATACAAAAATTATTAAAGCGGGTCATTCTATGTTATTTGCGTTCTTTTATGGATTATGTACCCAACATTGCCGATGAAGGGTTTTTTTTTTTTATTGATATCCGATTTTCAATCCCATGTGCATTCGCATTGTTTGAGAGTATTTCTACCAACGTCCGTTACCGTATTGACTGAGATTTTAGATTGATCTCGATATTGATATGATCCAAAACATTGATGTATTTAAATACCAATTATACTCACTACTTGCTCTACAACGTACAGCATCCGCTTATGATCCCAGTGCGTTAGTCGCTTGTCCGTCCCGACGTAAAAGTTTGTCCGTGCCTCCTTTAGTACTTTATGAAATTCATCCAGAACATTCTGCATGACGCGCTTCATTGTCTCGATTTTAGCGTCAACATTATCCATTCGAAATAGAACATATTTCCTGAGAAGTTCCTGGCCGTACGTGAACGCACGATGCAGGGCAATGGTCAGCAGATATTTCCATCGAAAATCCGCACATCGGAAACCTACTGTCAACATCGGTCGCTGATGGGAAGGGAATTCCTGGAAGTTGGCGTAGCGTACTTTGGATGTTGGATGCTTGTCTAGTTTTAGTTCGATGGCGTTTGAGGATTGGGACAAACATTTCAAAGCAACTGTAATCTTTGCGGGCTTTGAAGTATCGAAAACCAAGACATTAAGAATAATTAGTTTCATAAGAAAGTTTTCTTCCGTCCAAAAAGCTGTAGTATCCAGTGGCACTGTAATAGGAAAAGATTGGCATTTTCTAGGAGAAACGGACCGGTTATGAATCACTTCGGTGGAAATCGTTAGCAACAACCGACCGACGTACGCCTCATTATGGTGACCATGGTAAAAATAAAGATATGATGGACCAAAAGTAGGTAGGGAATCTATGGTGGAGAAGATGATGCTAAATCTGGGGGTGATATAACTGATAAGTTCAATACCCTACAAACGCTGTCAATCTGCTTTGATAGTTTTGAGAACGGCAGCTCTTTGCTTGTCAGGATTCGTTTGTAGCAACAGTCACTAACAATGATTTCAAAGATGAACGTTTGCGTGAGCGACGGAAATGTTCCAATAAAAGCAATCTTCTCATTCCATTCGTGAACGTTACTGTTATGAGCTAGCTTAGTTCTTGACTGGACAGCCGGAAATAAGCAAAAAAAAAAAATGTAAATTATATGAAACATATCGGAAAACGTAATCATCTTTTGATGTTACCTTTATACCACCAAATGAAACTTGAATTGCGTAATTAGCTTTAGTGTCAAACTCGCCTTGTAAGATGCTGATGGAATATTTAACCCGTTGGAGATTTTTACTATCCGCCAGTGGCAGCAGAAGATTGCTGCACACGACATTAGTTATTAATTAATTAATGACAGTTAAACGATCGATCACTTACTCTTCGATTGTATCACAATCTGTTGATGGAAATATGACAGGAGTGGACTTTTGAAGACTTGTTACTATCGAAATATCGAGCTGTAAGAATCCTACATTCCCTTCGCTGGATGGCACTGAACAGTCTTCCAGTACTGCCCACTTTTGCAGGAAAGCGTGATCTAAAAAATACAACTTTGTTGTCAAAGCATTTTTAAGGTAAACATCATCATGTAAGTCACATGGGTTATCCCAAACCGTTTTCAAATCAATCGAAAACTCTCCTACGCAACTATTCTTCTTCGAGCAACATGTATGATGAAACACTGCAACGTTCAGGCTTGTTTGAAACAACTTCTCAAGCGATGTTATTATTTCGAATACGAAATACTGGGAAAGTTAAACAAATTAACAAGATACGTTCTAGAATTGGAAAGCAAAATATACCTCGTTGAAGAATGGACAGTCAGAGTTACGAAATGTACGGGTGCGACGAAATTCTTCATTGAACGATATCAGAACGAATGTGTCCTCGTTCAGAACGGTTAGATGGCGCGCTTTATGTACGGTAACACAAACTAAGAACGCCTGACGAATGCTTTCGAAACAAAACGGAACGATTGATGACATCTTGTGAATTGATTTGTTTATATAAAACTCAAAATAGTAAGCGATAGCCTACTCGATTTATTAAAAAAGTAGAAGGGTCTGTGCCTAGGGGCACGAACGGAAGCTTGACGTAGGACCGCTAGTGGACGGAATAAATGTGAAGAGCATTTAGTTCTTTTAATTGATCAGTTATCTATTATCTCAACTTTTTTCGTTTTTGAATTGCAGGCGTACCAAATTTGTAGTAATCTTTTTCAAAGAGAAAGTTGATTAAGAGAATCAATCAAAATCACTTGCACCCCTGCTTCCAAGTTTGATTACAAGATTACAACTCTGCACACTATTTTTTTATCGCTGGAAACCAGCAATATTTTGCTGGATTTTTCCGAGCTTAAAGTTCAGCAATCATTTTGCTGGAAGAGCAGCAAATTTGTTTTTTTTTTAAAGAAAGAGGCATCTTATTGTTGGAATTAATATTTGATTACATTTCCATGTGACTGCACTTCTTAAAAAATCATGTCTTCAAGAAGCTATGATGGGCAATCCTGGGTGCGTTATAATTGTTGTTGTTTCTTTATTCAGGAAACGCCTGGGTAAGTTTACGAATGAAGAAAGCTTTAAATTTCAGAGAAAGACGAAAGTTTTTCGACTTAATTCAGATTGCTAAGGTAGTTTAGTATACTTACTTCATGGCAAATGCTCTTTTTATATAATTTCCATGATATTTTGTAGGAGTTCAAAGAGTTGTTAGTCGAACATTTCTTGAACATAAAAATAATCATAAACCGTGAAGGAGAGAATGATGGATTTTGGCCGGATTTTGACGTTTAATGCAGTTTACTGGTACGTTCAGCAAAATATTTCATATTACTGATTTTTCAGTTAAAGTTGGTTTTGCTGGACGCGATTCAGCAATTCAATTTGCTGGAACAGGATTTTAAAATTTGGTGTGTGGAGAGCATTTTGTGTGGTCGTTGGGGGCTTGTGGTTCTGAATATGGACAAACAAGCTCAGATAAATTCTATTCCAACTCTTGATGTAAGCTTGATGGCCCTGAAAAGGGCCCTTTTATTGAAGAGGACATCCATGGCCACTTACGCTTGGCGTGTTTAGTGTAGGTGACAGCATCACGGACCTCATTTTCCAGGAACAACTTCAGCACACCTCGTAGATCAGACCGGAGATACGTGCGACACCGCCACGGCGAGCCAGACGACGGATGGTGGTTATCTCGAAGAATTTGCGTTTGGTTCTGAATGTAGCTTGTTTACAAACAAATGGTGTTGAGCTGTCAAAGACACGTGCTTATTTCTGCTTACACTATACCGGTGCTACACCGCAGAAACGAAAACGACACATGTCTCTAGGTTGGGAAGAACATCTACATGTCAAATGTGCAATGATGATTTTTTTTTTTTTTTTTTTTTAATTCTTTATTAAAGAGAAGCAATGATGAAGGAAACATACATCCCATCAAATTGAAAATGAATTCTGCATCGAAAATGACATTATTTTTATTTATTATGTTATCATATAGAGGGTCTCTCTAGTTATCATGAATGTGCAACAAATTAATCAAAAATTTTGAAATCTAGAGCAAATAAATAAAACAAAAAAAAACATTCACAATCAAATGATCAAACATATGAAATTATTTTTCGCAACGCAATACAAATAAGCTGGTCACATGATTTTTCATGTACTTTTGAACATTTTAGGATAGTTGCCTTATTATATTGTAATGTACTGTTTCTAATCAGGCCAAGCACACAAGAGTGATACATAGTGGAAACTGATTTTTTTATGTTTTATGGGCTCATCCAAGGGGTAAGTCACTCAGCATATTGTGCCGAAATTAGATTCGCCACAGCTTAGGCACATCCATCGGCACACCTTCGGCATACCTTCAGCATATCTGGTTGGTTGGTTGTCTTTATTGAGGAGATTTTCAGCCAGACGCTGGTTCATCTCCGCTCGGCATACCTTCGGCACACCTTCGGCACAGTCTCGTAGGCATTAGGTTGTTGTAAATTAAATGGGAGCACTGCTGTCATTGAAATTGTTCACAACATTACGTGCTGTTTGATTGTATATTCAGGAACATCCTCTGATTGAATATACCAGAGGAAGTCAGACGAGCAGTTCACTTTTAGATCTTAATACAAAATGTAGGTTCTTGGGTGGGCTCAAGAGAAAGAGGCAGTTATTCAGCTTTTACACCCTTAATTAAGAAAAAAAGATTCAACTCACACAAAACAAACTACAGTAGTCTATTCATCATCCTCTATAGTTGGTCTCCAACAATGTTCCTCACAGGTTCCATTTCTTTCCGGCCGCTGATAGACCGTTGTTTTTCACAGCACGATAGACTAGGTTTCTGGTCTGCCTTTGAGGGCATTATAAAACCCTAAAACACAAGACTTTTATCATCATATGATCATAAAACACCAACACTCGCCACTTCCCGCGCCATCTCACTCAAGTGCAGCGCTATCAACAATCAATACGAAACTATCGATTTTAAATTGGCTCATTTCTTGACTAGCCTATTGGTCCCAAGCAAATCGATTAACGTGCCCCATTGATTCACTATGGAAGTTTGACAGATAAAATGAGGGGTTAGTGGATTTTCCTACGTTTCGAGGGGTGAATCGATTAGCTTGGGACCGAAGATAGTACCAGAGCTGAGCCAAAAAGTTGAGCACGTTTCTTCGGGACCTACTTGTCTTAGAGTTGACTCTATGGCGTTATAGTATCTGTCGCTTGGATTCTGAAAAAGTTGCCAGTTTTCTTGATATGATGTATTCGGTAATACCAACAATCAATACGAAACTAACGATTTTAAATTGGCTCACCACTTTAGTAGCCTATTGGTCCCAAGCAAACGATTAACGTACCCTATTCTAGTTGAAATTCTATTACTACACTATGTTTGTTTTGATTCGCTATGAAAGTTTGACAGATAACATCAGGGGTGTGTGGATTCATGCAGAACATGCAGGGGTGAGTGAAATAGCTTGGGACTGCTTGGGACCGTTGTTCTGGTACTGAGTGAGCCAAAAATAATAATGATTTTCTTCGGGACCCAGTGGTCTTAGAGTTACCTCTATGGTTCTACGTTGCCAAATCACGGTTTGATGTTCCGGAAGACATAAGGAAGAAGAAAGGGGACAAATTCGCCAAAACATACTTTCTCTGGCAGGTCATATGCCAAACGGCGCCGGTGGTGTAGTGGTAAGCGTGATTACCTCTCACCCCAGCAGGCCTGGGTTCAATCCCAGTCGGCGCCGCCGGGATGTTCTGAGGTATAACATCTCTGATCACGCCTTCCTTCGGATGGGAAGTAAAGCCGTTGGTCCCCGGTTCATGAGTTGATGGGTCGATAGGTAGGGTCCAGGTGTGGGAGCTGCCTTCCTGGCACGTCGGTAGCATTGGTGCTCAGCACGGAAAACAAGATCGACGGAAAAAACAAACCAAAGGAAAGGTCATATGCCAATGCGGTAAACTGAGTAAACCGTGCATCACAATGGGTATCATCAACAGCAAAATTTACCGCACCGAGTGCCTCCAGAAGCGTCTGTTGCCCTTCCTGTGATCCCACGGAGGCGAGACATTATTTTAGACGGACCTGGCATCATGCCATTACGCGCGATCGACGTTGGATTGGTACAGAGACAATAACGTTGTTTTTGTACCAAAAACCGTCAACCCCCCAAATTCACCAGATATTCGTCCGGTGGAAAGATTTTGGGCTATAATGAAGGCCAAAGTTCGAAAATCGTCCAAGGTGTTTAAGAACGAGCTGGAGTTGAAGAAATAATGGATGAAAGTGACCAAAAAGGTCAGCTCCACCATTGCACAAAATGTAATGAGGGGTCTTAAGGGAAAGGTGCGGGCTTTCAGCGATGGAAAGTTAATTGAATAATGTAATTATGCCGAAACATAATCCATATGTATTAGTTCAGTCCCTGAAAGTTTCGAGAAAATCCGACTTTAATACATTTTTGGCGAACACTTTTGTCTAGTGCATTTTTTTTCGAGTACAGGCCTTATCTATTTCACTAGAAAAGGGGTGTTGTTTCTGGACAACGCTTACTTTTTTTTTTCCTTCCTTTATTTAACGTCGGTCTCTGTTCCGCAATCTAGTGCCAATCACCGACGGACATCGATTGCCATCCATTGACGGCAATCGAATGTGCAGGAAGTCAGCTTCCACACCTGCGTAGGATATCGCACCCATTCAACACACATGGGCCGGGACCAACGGCTTTACTTCCCTTCCGAAGGAAGACGTGACCAGAGATTTTTATGCCTCAGAAAAATCCCACCGACCTTGGCTGGGATCGAACCCAGACCCATCGGGGTGTAAGAAAGCAGTCACGCTTACCACTACACCACCGGCGCCGGTGGACAACGCTTACTACCTCTCCACTGCTTTTCTCGACCTCAGGAGACGTCAAGTCCGTTTACAGCACCTCTTCTTCTAGCACCTCAACCTCCTCTTCCACAGCTTTTTCACCGTTATTGTCCATGTAACCAAGATTCGCATCCAGTGATTTGAAGAAATTTGTAC